TGGCTCTTCGTCTCTCAAATGCCTCCTCATGAACTCTCCAACATCTTCCCGCAGGGGTTCCGGCTGCTCCTGGCCAGCCCCAGCGCCTGCTACCGCCTGCTCAAGGAGAAGCAAGAGGAGGGCTACGGCGAGGCCACCATGTTCGAGGGTACGTGGCCGCGCGGGGGGACAGCTCGTGAGGGGACCAAACCCACCCATGGGCGCTCTCGGCCTCCCCAGGGCTGAAGGGGGTGGCCAAGGTGAGCGTGAACGAGCTCCTGGCCGACGAGGCGCTACGCAGGTTCAACGCCTTCGCCCAGGTGAGGGAGGGGGCTGGCGCGGGCGCCGAGGGGGGACGCGGCGCCCGCTCAGCGCGCGCCCCCTCGCAGAGCTGCGTGAGCTGGAACCGCGCCGTGCTCAAGCGGGAGCTGGGCCTGGCCGAGCGCGACATCGTGGACGTGCCGCAGCTCTTCCAGGGGGACGGGCGCGGGGGCGCCCGCGCCTTCTTCCCCGACATGGTGAGCGCCGGCGCCGCGTCAACGAGCCGACACGGGGGCGGCCCGCGGTCCCCGCGAGCGTCCCCTGTCCCCCGCAGGTGAACATGCTGGTGCTGGGGAAGCACCTGGGCATCCCCAAGCCCTTCGGGCCCGTCATCCACGGCCAGTGCTGCCTGGAGGAGAAGGTCCGCTCCTTGCTGGAGCCCCTGGGGCTCAGCTGCACCTTCATCGACGACTTCTTCTCCTACCACGCGCTGGCCGGCGACGTCCACTGCGGCACCAACGTGCGCCGCAAGCCCTTCTCCTTCAAGTGGTGGCACATGGTGCCCTGAGGTGTCGTCCCCGCCGCGCTGCCATTGCCCCCGTGAGGCCTCCCCGCGCCGGCCTCCCCTCCTCGACCTCCTGCACCGGCCTCCCCGTGTTGGCTGGGACAGGGGAGCCCAAGAGCTCAGGGAGGTTTTGGGCCCGGAGAAGCCGCTTGGCGGCTGCTTGGTGCCCTCTAATGGCTACAGAGATGGTGGGAGGGTGGAAAGGGGGGAAGTAGTAACAGGGGAAAAAAGATTTAAAGGGTAAAAAAAGAATAAGCGAAAAAAATGGGGGGGAAATATTAAGGGAAAACAATGAGGAGAAAACAATTTGAGGGGGAAATAATTTGAGAGGGAAAATGGAGAGGGAAAAATTATGGGGAATAATCAGGTAAAAAGTTAACGTTAATAAAGGGAAAAAATATTAAGGGGAAAAATACTAAGGGGGAAAAATTAAGAGGAAAAAAAGGAGGAAAAAATGAGGGGGAAAAACGAGGGGGAAAAAGAAAAAAGGTTAAAAATAAGGTAAAAGAGGGAAAAATATTAAGGGTGGAAATTTGCGGGGAAAAATGTTTTAAATAAGGTGAAAAATTTTTAAGGTTAAAACTTTTTAAAGGCAAACAAATTCAGATATATTATAAAAAGATTTTTAAAAAAGTCTAAAAAAGATAAGAATTTTAAAAATAACATTAAAAAGTTAGATTTAAGAAACTGGAAGCTGGAACGCCCAGGGAGAGGCGGGCACGGGGGCTGAATGCGACGGCGGCGGACGGAGCCCAGCGGCGAACGACGACGGCGGCGCTTTGTTTTAAACATTTACTCCAAGAAATATATATATAAAAAAAAGAAACAAAAATAAAAAATAAAATGAAACACCGCGAGAAGAAACAGCGCTAAACCGGGGGCCTTTTGCCTCGCCTGAAGCAAAACCCCTTCTGGGATCCTTGGATTTTATTCTTTTTTATTATTATTATTTTGAGCCCCTTCCTCCTTCGCTCACCCAGGATTTATTTGGGGGGGGTGAACATGGATTTTTTTCTTTTTTAGATTTTCTATTGAACCCCCCCTTTCCCGAGATTCCTTCCTCTGAACGGGACAGCGAGCGGGAAAGGGCTAATATTGCTAAAACGGCCCCGGAGCCGAAGGTGCAACTTCTCCGCCCGGCTGCTCTCCTGGTCCTGGAAGATTTTTTTCCCCCACACATTCCCCCCTCCCCAAAAAGACAGAAATACCCCCAAATACCCCCAAAGGAAATGTTAAAAATTGAAAAAAAAAATATTAATGGTTTCGGTAAAGTCCTGCAAGGCTCCCGGAGCGGCGGCGGGAGCGGGAAACCGGTGGCGTCGCCTCCGCGGGAAAAGGCACCTCGGTTCTCCAGCACAGTGCGCGGCGCGGCCGCGGCGGGGCAGCCGGGGAAGGGGACGGGAGGAAACGGGGAGAAGGAAAAGGGAGGAAAAAGGGGGAAAGGGGAGGGAAAGGGGCGGAAGAGAGGAAAAGGGAGGGGAAGGGGAAGAGGAGGGAGAAGAGGGGAGAAAAAATGGCGGGAAGAGGCAGGAAGTGGGGGAAAAGAGGGGAAAAGACAAGGGAAGGGGGAAACAGGAAAAAGGGGGAAAAGACGGAAGGGAGGGAAAAGATGGGGAAGGGAGGGAAAAGATGGGGAAAAGGGGGAAAGAATTAAAAAAGGGAGGGGAGGAAGAATAAAAAAGCGGAGGGGGGCAAGAAGGAAAAAATGGGGAAAAAAATGGAAAAAGGGGGGAAAAAGAAAGCCAAACCCTTGCACCAAGCTTCAGGGTGCTGCTCTTCATACCTGAGAACCCCCCCAGGATGGGCGGCCAGGATGCAGAAAATGTTTAAAAAAAAAAAAAAAAAAGCCACCTGGCATTTTATATATATATAATTTTTCTATAATTTAAGGGACGCCCGCTGCTGTTTAACGCCACGTTTTCTGGCAAAGGGGCTCGAGCCTCCTCGCGGCCCTGAGACTTGGCGGCCGGGGGGGACCTGCTGCAGAGGGGCTCCCTGGGCCCCCAAAAACCCTCTGGGCAGGATTTGCGTCCGTCTGTCCCCAAAAACGGGTGACATCCCCCCCTCTTTACCCTCCCTGTGACATCGGAGCACCCGAAGCCCCAGCCGCCCTCGCGAGATGTCCCCCCCAAAATCCCGTGGGAACGGCCGCTTTCCCGGCTGCCCTGAGGGAAAACGGGGATCTGGCCGGGGGGGGTGGTAAAAAAATAAAAATAAAAGAAATCTCCATCCATCTGTCCATCCCCTCCCGCGTCCCCCCAACCCTGCCAAATAAAAAGAATAAAAAATAATAATTATTATTAAAAAAAAAGCCTGTGTCTGCCGCAGGGCCCTGCTCCGGGTAGGATGCGCTTCCCCCCTGCCCCGGGAGCCTCCGCTTTGGAAAAGGGAGGGAGAAGTCGGGAAGGGGGTGGGGAAGCGGCCCCCGCGGCGGCGGCCTCACAGGGTGCGCGGGTTGTACTCGGGCAGCTTCTTGAGCCTCTCCTTCTCGGCGTCGCTCTCGTCGCGCGCGATCACCAGGGAATGGGAATAGCCCATGGCCCCCTGGGTGGGGAAAAAGGCAGCCCAAAAAGAAAAAAAAAAAAAAAAAAAACAGGGAGCTTTTTCTCCTCCCCGGCTCCGTTTCCCGCAGCTGGGAAGCTCACATTGGTGTCTCAAGTGTGTCAGGCCTCAGCACACCCCCAGGCAGGTGGTTTTGTGCCCCAAAACAGGGGGGAAAAGCAACGAGTGAGAGCTCAGGGACTGCGGTGGGGAGGTTTTCCTGCCCATTCCCAATAAAAGCCGGAGCCGGGCCAGGCAGCGGCCTCACCTGCTCCGTGTAGATCCCGTCCAAGGTCTTCACCTCCTGGGCCGCCGTGGACGACTTGGGCTTGTGGTCGCCGTAGCCCTGCGGATGCCGTGAGCGGGAAAATCCCGCATTCCGCTGCCTCCATCCCATCCTAACCCTCGGAACGTCCCGGGAAGGCCCTTACCAGCTCCCCGAAGGTGGGCGACGGGCCCCAGCTGATGGTGCTCTCATCGGCCGCCACGATGATGCTGCTCTTCCTGCGAGGATAAACATAAATTTGGATTTATACGGATAATATAAGGCAATATATGTAATTATTACATAGAACACAGAAATATATTAAAGCATTTTAAAGTTGTAATTTATATAATAAGCTTTAAAGGTATATATATAATATTTATATGTATGTTATATATATAATTACATATATATAATTAAAATATTGAGCCTCTTGGGCAGGACATAGCCAAGCAAAGGGGCTCGCATGAAAGTGGCTCTAATATAAACCTGGTACGGGAAAAAAGTGGGAGAAGGATGTTCCCGCAGGACATTCTTGTCCAGGCACCATAATTTAGGTGGAAAAGCAGTGATTTTGGGTATGTGGGGGGTGAGCGGGGATGCCCTGAAGGCAAACGCCTTCCAAAGCCTGGAGAGCCGCAATCAGCAGGGGGACGGAGCAAGCGTCGGAAAAGATGTTGGGAAAAGGAGGGTTTGGGGGAGGTTTTATTGTATGGGAGAGAGTGGGATGTTGTACGATACAACGGGATGGGATGGGATATGATACAGCACAATACAGTGGGATGGGACAGGACATGATGGAATGGGATATGATATGATGAGACTGGTAGGGTGCAATGACATGGGACACGACGGAATGAAATGGGATACAATGGGATGGGATAGTATGGGACAGAATGGGATGGGAGACGATGGGACACAATGGGACGGGACATGATGGGATACAGTATGTCATGATACGATGGGTGGGACAGGACAGGGGACGATGGGACTGAATACGATGGGATGGGACATGGTGGGACGGGACATGGTGGGATGGGACAGGACAGGGGAGAATGGGACGGAATGCGATGGGATGGGACATGATGGGACAGGACGTGATGGGACGGGACAGGGTATGATGGGACGATGAGATGGGACACGATGGGACAGGATGCAATGGGACGGGACGGGGTACAATGGGATGGGACAGGACAACGGGATGGGACGGAATGTGATGGGATGGGACATGATGAGACAGGACGTGACGGGACGGGACAGGACAGGGTACAATGGGACGATGAGATGGGACACAATGGGACGGGATGCAATGGGACGGGACGGGACAGGGATGCGCAGGCGCGCGGAGCCGCAGCGCTCACCCGCAGGCCAGGCTGCGGATCCGCCCGCCGCAGAGGTCCTGCACCGCCTTGGGGTACATGGTGGACTCGCGCGACGTGTTGGTGGCTCCCCAGAAGAAGAGGCCTCCTGCGGGGCACAGAGCGGTGGGTGGCCCGCGGCGCCCTCCCGCCGGGCGCCCTGACTCCGCGCGTGGACGCCGGCCCGACCTGTCTCGCTGACGGCGAAGGAGCAGGTGTAGCCGGCGTAGATCTGGGCGGCCCCGCGGCCCGGGAAGTCGAAGAGCTTCACGAGTCGCGGCACCATCTCGTCCTTCTGCTCCGCGTGGCCCAGGCGCCCGTAGCCGCCGAAGCCCCAGGAGAAGACGCGTTTCTGGGAGTCCAGCACCAGCTGCGGGAGAACCGGACAGCCTTGGGGCTGAGCGCTGAGCCCGGGCGCAACTCGGTGCACGCGCGGCGAGAGGCCAGGACGGGCCCCTTACCGTGTGGTTGGCCCCGCAGGCCACGTCGCGCACCACCACGTTGGGCACGGGCAGGATCTGGCCGTCTTTGGTCTTCTCGATGAAGATGGCCACGCGCCGCGGCACCAGCTCGCAGTCGTACTCGATGCGCTGCGCCCGCGCGATGAACTTGCCGTCCGAGTTGTGCCCTGCGGCACGCGGCGGGGAGAGAAGAGAATAAAATAGACATAAAATAGAAGAAAAGATAGAATAGAACGTAGAACAGAATATAGAATAGACCAGAATATAGAATAGAACATGGAAGGGAAGGGAAGGGAAGGGAAGGGAAGGGAAGGGAAGGGAAGGGAATAGGAATAAAATAGACATAAAATAGAAGAAAAGATAGAATAGAATGTAGAACAGAATATAGAATAGAACAGAATATAGAATAGAACA